AGACGTGTGCTCTTCCGATCTCCCCAAAACCCCAAAACCCCGAGTGACAGTATTGTTAAAATAGAAGTGAGAGAGAGAATAGAAGTTGAAAGATTTAAAATTGAAATAATAGATTTTAAAGTAAAATGTCAGATTATTCCTTAACCACATTTGGTTAATCCGGAGAACTCACTCAAGTCAGATATGCTCTTACTGCTGTAGGTAATGGAGACACTTGCCTCGGTATTAGAGCTAAGAACGGAGTAGTAATTGCATGTGAAAAGAAAATCACTTCAGTTCTAGTAGATGAAACAACCATCCACAAGGTCGAGAAGATTGCGCCTTACTTGGGTACAACCTACGCTGGTATTGGTCCAGACTTCAATTCAGTGATCCTCAAGGCAAGAAAAGATGTGCAAGTATATCACTCAAAGTATCAAGATCGTATTACCCCATTCATGTTGTGCAAACAAGTTGCAGACCTATTTTAAGAGTACACGCAATCAGGTGGTGTGAGACCTTTCGGTATTGGCCTCATTGTTGCTGGATATGATGAAGAGCATGGTCCATAGATTTTCCAAATCGAGGCATCAGGTACATTCTACTGCTGGAAAGCAACAGCTCTCGGAAGAGGAGGCAACACTGCCAAGCAGTTCCTTGAAAAGAGATACACAGATGACCTTGATATTGAAGATGCTATTCACACTGCTATCTTGACTCTTAAGGACAGCTTCGAGGGAGAACTCACTGACAAGAACGTCGAGATTGGAGTTATCAGAACATCAGACCCCAATAAGGAGTTCAAGATTCTTACTCAAAGCGAAATCAGAGACTATCTAAGAGAAGTTGAATGAATAAATGAATACTATAGCTTCATAAATAAATATTTGAGTTCTTAACCAAATTTAATTCAAGTTCTTATAAGTTTAAATAATTATTATTGTATTAAGATCAGATTGGAAGAAATCAATATCTAGTTCTCAAAGATAAACTAGATAAATTTAACTCCTACCTTTAAAATTACGATCAACTAGAGATATTAGTAATCTCAAATAGTTCATTCTTACATATATTCATTAAAATAGCCAGGGGAACTGCTTGACTTAGACTTCATATTTAATATATCCTCAGTGTGTTAAGAAGAAAGCATATCTTGCTATAATTCAGCGAGTCTCATTTTATCTTGACATTCCATTAGAAAAATTTAATATTTATTGTTGAAAGCGAAATCAGTTGAGGTGTAATTGTCTCTCTAAGCAATCTATTTGCTTTGGTCAGCTGATTAATCCTGCATGATAAATTTAAGAAGTCCTTCTTTCTCAGATAAAGATGAGGATTGACTCTCATTGTCAGTTATTATAGCACTTGATTTATCATTAGTCACAACTATTCTTGCTGAGGTATGTGGATTCTGTGATTTTTAGGCATCATTGATGTAGCCTGTTTAAAGTTCAATATTATTCCAAGAGTTCTTAGTTGCATTCATTATCAAAATAATCTAAGCAAGGATAGGAGTCAATTCAAATAGGAAAACTGCGCAGAATTCATAAATTGGACTGAAAAAGGTTTTAATTTTTTTAATTTACTAATTCCAAGAATTTGTCTAGAGTGAGTTTAGTTTTAATTCAGAAAAATAATCTGCAAATATTTCTTAATAGATAAATCTTGAAGAGACAAGGAATAATGAACAGAATACAATAGCTATTCCATACTTAATCTAGAATATTGATAATTATAAATAGAGTGTTTACTGATTTTCCATTCTCCTCGTATATGTCTTCATAGTTGAAATTTAGTTTCTTAAGTAGCATCCAGCCTACAACTATAAATCCGATACCTAAAATGAGTCCATTTATAGCGTAAATCATATTCAATGCTCGGTCACTATAGTAAATGTTTAAATTAGAATGTCTTACATCTTTTAGGCTTTCATATCATCTTCAATATCAGCATCGAGTGAAATCATCACAAACTCAATAACCATAACTGCCAATACTAGACAAGAGAAAATTCCAAATTATATTCTCCTTTTCTGTTAAAATTGTTCCTCTGTTTATTTATCAACATAAAAATCAATTCGATTTACAAGTAAAACCCTAGAAGCAATTTATGATTGAATAATTACCATTTATATAGGTTAAGTGAACATGCAGTAAAGAAAAACAAATATCCTAGGTTTTCAATGTATATATAGAATTCAGTCATGCTAGAAGATAAGTTTTAGCCTTCACTTGAAAAGTATATAGCACTCAACATATATGAAAGAGTCTTGCCTATAAAAAAATATAAATTGAGATCAATTTCAATTAAGTCTTAAAAAACTTACATACTAAAGACAATTCCAAAAATAAGAAGTGAAAAAGTAGGAGTCTATCCTTCTTTGTCATAAATTTATAAGCTTTGTGAGCCGACTTTGCCAATAGAATTATGATGATAAAACTAATAATGTCAAGGGTGATCACTACTCCAATATATCTGCTTGAGTTATACCCTTAATCAGTTGTTCCTCCTTAGTCTATGTTATTATCTCCTTTTTCATCAATTGATTAGCTTGAGACATCGTTATGATGAGTGGAAATATTAATTCTGTTCGAAAATACTGGAACAGTGTCCTTTCGAGAAAGAGTTAAAAACGTAGAGAGATTATCAGCCACCATATTTATAAGTGTTGAATTGGAAAACGTAGGATCATCTCCATTATGATTTATAATATTCTTGATCATCGATATCTAAAATTATAATAATTAATATTATTATGCAATTTGAGATAACACAAATTTTTTAATAGGTATATAATAAAACATCATAATCATATCTCAGCTATTCCATATATTGATCTAATCGCTCTTTTAATTCAAATCATGCAATGTCTTATCAAAACTTGTTATTTTTAAAACCGTATGCCATTTGATTCATCCTTTAATTAATCTGATATTATTGAGTGTAATTAGTTTAAGTATGTGAAGTCAAAGAAGGTTCTGCCTAGTTTTAGGACTTTGTCTTTTTGAGTGCGGCTGTATTCATTTGCTTGTTTAGCATTACTGCAAATCCAAGTTCGTCATTTCTTTCCTCAAAAGCCATATCCTCTTCACATGATGATCCCTTATTACTTTTCTGTTGCTTTGAAATCTGCTTCCCAGCCTTAGTTGAATGATCTATATTACTAGAGAACTGCTTCACACTTGGCTATTATTTCTTATCATTTTAATGCTGCTAAAGCTATTATTAAGCAAAATTAGAATTGAAAATATCTTCGGACTATTATGATTTCCCTCTATTTAAAAGTTAATTTTTACTTGTGTTATGGCTGTTCTTTCCTGTTTCATTTTTAGAGGTAGTAATTCCTCCTCCTAACATTTTAGCATTATTCTAGAAAACATTTGGAGTAAATCCGTTGCTTGGGGTCTTCTGGTTATTTGGTGGCTTTATAGGAACAGGCAGACCTCGAGCAGTTGGGAGATCTGTGTTTTACTTCTTTCTCATCTATGCTAAGAAACTTTAAGGATTTACTTATTATGGCTAGGATATCGAAGTTGACTAATGATCTAGCTATGATTGAACTTGATTTGATGATTAGTTTTGCTTTTTCTTTCCTGATATTAGAGGAGTGTCTGAAGATCCATTAATCATCTTTTGAATCTCTTTAGCCTCATCTTACTCCATTTCCTCAGTATAATAGACTTAAAAGTCTGTTCCATTATTTTCATAGTTGTTTTCTCTCTACTTTTAATCGTTTAAGTTGTATTCCTTTGACAATTACTTTTACTGCTATTAGGATTTCTAGTCCTTTAAAGATTTGTAATCATTCTTATTGTTGTCGTTTAGATTTAGATTTTTATATGACAACTCTGGGGTATGCGATTAAGAAATTTAGTCTAGGTCCAGGTCTTCTTTTCCATTGTCCAGATTATTAAATAGAGCATCATACTTAGAAACATTTTTCTTGTTCTAAGTCTTAGTTTTCCCTTTATTAAATAGCATCTCTTGCTCCTATACTGCATTGGCGTTGTATATTAGATTCTTAGGTGAAATTTTAGAATAAAGTTCACTCTAATTATTTCCATAAACCTTATCCTTAGGTGCGAGATACTCCTTAATAGTATTTCTGACATCATTGAAATTATTCCCACCATTTCCTGCTATAGCTACCTTAGGTCTAAACACTTTTCTGAATACCTATCTCAACTAATCAAAGTTATTCACTTCACTCGAATAGAAGACTGGATTCTAAAGATAGATATCAAGGCCTCTTCTCAAGTTTTTGACAAAGAGATAATACATCTCAAACTTGTTAAGAGTTTGGAACTACATGCCAAAGGCATCGAATCCACTCTCTTAGTTATTTTTGTACAAGCTGATTTGATTCTGATTAATCGAAAGCTTGCATAATGCTCTTTGCTATTCATTTACATTAGCCCTTGGCTGTATGACAGTGATTTAGATCGAGTTAACATTAACACTAACTTAAATGTCAACCCTTGTATAGGTCTTTTCATATTCAACAGCTTTTTTAACTATGAAGTCTTCATGAAAGCTTTGAAATCCAAAAGTCTTTTCCGCTTAAGACTTTAGCTGCTAATCCTTTAGATCCTAAGTGCTCTAGAAATTCTTGTTTGCCTAAAAATAGTCTTTTTTATTGCTAACTGCTTGCTGAATGTACTTTTTGGTAGTCTTGTAATCAACATCCTCTTGATCACTGATATTTTCATCTTCACTGCTATCATTTCCAACTCCTCTGTTACTTCCACGTTTATTTTACATTTGAAATTAGCTCATATTTTTATTCATTTTTAGCTTCTAGGTTTCTTCAAACTAATTATCTTTGGGTTTTTCTCTCAAAATTGAACTACGAGCTTATGTTGACTTTGAAGCGAACACCTGCTTGATAAGGTAGAATGGAATGTGGAGTTAGATCTTACGCTATATATTCTCCCTCCTTTAAAATAGATTCTTCAACGGAATATATCTGAATACATGTAGCTTTTTATAGGCTACCAGAGTGTCGCACATGTTCTTAATGATGTCATTGCAGTATTAAAGATCAAGTTAGGCTACATTCACATCTATTTATATACTCTTTGGTCTAATGATCGAAGATGTCTTCTAAGGGATCATTGCTAAGTTCTAATCAATACTAAAAGCCGCTTGTAAATTATTTGAGCTGCAAAGGTGCAACACTTGAATTCTCTATACAACACAGTTTTATTATTTTGCAGATTCAAAGGTCTCAATTTACCATTATGACTGATGATTGATTAAAGGTACTTGTTATGATGATGCCTGATAGACTGATACCTTAGTAGTTGTTGTATTGCTCTGCTATGAAGGTCCTCTTCTATTAAACTAGATCTAATTATTAATACCCTATCCTACCCCTAAGATATCACTCAAATCATTCTAATTTTTTCTCTGAGTTGTACTAGAAATGTTGTTATAGTATGCTCCTCTTAATCCTGCAGGCCTATATGGAGTAGACACATTCTGACCATAACTATTATTGTTTTGTGAGTATTAATAGCTATTGTCAATTATATTTTAAGTGTTATTCAGTCTGCTGTTATTTCCTTGCATGTTTTTGCTTTCAAACTGGTTATTAAGTGGGCTTTAGACGTGCTTCATATTAATCTAACTATTGCTGTTATCGAATGTGTTCTAGATTTGAATTTAACTTGAATTTTGATCTTTATTGTTGCTTGCTTGATTATTATCATTAGATCCTGTAAAGTTAGCGAAAAAGCTCTCAAATGTTTATTTCAGTCCAAATATATTATCAAGAATAGATGTCTATTAGTTCTATTGAATTTAACTAGGCTTAGAATTCCTAGTGTTTCTTTGATTCTCCATCTAAGAATTCGTGCTGCTATTAACAACTTAAGAACTATTTTGCTAAGAGAGGTTTCTCTGAGTATAGTTATTTCCATGACTATAACCCATTTAACCATTATTAATGTTGATATTGTGATTTTAAGCCTAGTAATAGTTTGAATACTTATTATTTGGAATCCCACCTCCTATATAAAGTTTAGAAAATTAAGTTTAATTACTATTATTGAAGGGTTGCTGATAAGAACTGCTGACTCCGTACTTTATGCCTTAGGCTGATGTACTTACTTAAGCACCCATGCCACTGATCGTAGGATTTTGAATCTATTGATAACTTTGATTGGAAGGACCTCTATTCAGGCCAGGGGTGCCCTTTTAACCATTGTCTCTGAAAGTCAAACTTTTCATCTGATCTGTAGGTACTTAATTGATATTATTCTGCAGGCTTAAAGATTATTTTTACTATAATCCTAAATTCTGGTTGAACTATTGATCTCTTTTGAAGAGTTACGAATGAAAAACTTTCATATCTTTAAAGACAAGTTATTTTCTAGTTGTTGAATTGATAAAGTTAAAATCACTGGCATATACAAGTGAATCTAAATCTATCTCAAAAGAAGGTAGGCTTTACTTGTTTTTGCAGGAATATTTATCAAGGTTTTCATAGATATTTAAAGTAATTCCTTAGAATTTGTAAAGCTATAAGATTTCATCATAATTTCTTAAATTTTCAGTTTTATCTTTAGATTACTGTGTATTGTTTTTCTTAGAAGCATCATCCATAAATTGTTTCATATTTGATTTTCCTGATTACGCAGCCTTAATCAAGTTTTCATACTGCTCTTAATTCTACTCAAGTTCTTTCTCAATCAGCTACTCTGAATAGAAATTCACCAACAAATTTCTCAATCTAATATACCAAACCGCAAAGAAAAACCAATCTCTGACAATAAGCTTACGCTTTCTCTTTATATGATCATCTTAAATGTCTTGGCCATTTAAATCGCTTAAGCATATAGGCTTTCTCTAAGGGCGATACTATTTTAAATCAAGAGATATTGAGAAGTTTTGAATGAATTCGTAAAATCTTGCCAAGTCATCAATTATTCCGGGGGTTAAGTTTACTTTGAAAGGAGTAAACAAGAATGTAAACTTTGCCTAGGCGAATGGTTTAGATTGCTAAGGAGCACTGCCCATTTTCAAAAAACTATTCTAAGTAGGTGGAAGCTACTTATAGTTGTATATACTAGAGACCATGTTGAATTCTGAAATGAGATAAAACATACACTCCTTCTTCCTGAAAACCCTAAATAATGATTATTAGAATGATGATGAATTACTCATTCATTAGGTCATTTAAGGATTCAACTGGCATTGCATCAAATATTTAATTTTCTAAATGCCTGGTTTATTCCCATAAACTTGAAGGGATAAACATCTCACTCATAGTATTAACATAAAGATTGGCATTTGTCAAGTTTAATTCTTTTAATATCATAAAACCCTGTCCTTTGTTATCCTCCTCTCTATTTAAAGAATGATTATAGTTATAGTGAGAATTATTCATACTTATGCTAGGGATTAACTCTGAAAAAATTTAAGTGTAGCAGTGAATCGAATGACCACTCAGTATCTGATGTTCTCAAATCCACTTAATCTATCACAACTCCAAAAGAGTACGGAGACTACGCTGAAAAGTAATCATCTTCAAACCTGATATGAAGTCGCTTTATAGTCAATCTCAAATTTTTCATTAAATTGTGAGAATTACTCTTTAACGAATCATCATCATTATTTTCACTGTTTTATTCTTTTTTAGGCTCAATTTTATCAATATCTATAAAATTTATAAGTATTTGATGATTGATTTTGAACTTAATATTTCTCTTACTCTTAACCTTGTTTTTTATCTGCAGGTCATGTTCAAATATATTAAAGACATTAGTAGAGTCGTAAGAATCATCAAGTCCCTCATCCCCTATATAGCTTTCATTGTGACTCAGGAAACTCATATTTGGTCCAAGAATCAAATAAAGATCATCAATAGCTAGTTCAAGCGGATTATTCCAGACATTCAGTATGCTAAACTATATACTATTTTATGATCGTTAAATCTACCTTAATCTGAAGATTTCCGATCATACCGGCTTTTAATGACACCGGCAACATTAACCCATCAATAATGCGATTGGCTTCATCTGGTCTGATATTCACCGATTTCAAGTTGATATTGCCTAATGTTATCTAAATTAGAGCAAAGATTATTTACCTTTAATGATGGACATGTTAAGTTGGTTTTTATCGAAGCCGAATAAGTATCGATCTAGGTAAATTTTCAAACAATCATAAATTTTGTTTGTGAACATTTTCAAGATTAAATTTTAATTTCTATTTTCATTCCCTATTCCTATGATTACTGCTTGCTGGGGTTTTGGGGTTTTGGGGTTTTGGGG